CTAACCCCTCTAGTCCTTAAGGTGCCTTTAACCTACAGATTCCTGATATTTTCTTCATCGCCGAATCATGGCCTATTTACAGTGGAATACCGCGGCCTCAGGGGTAATCGGGTGACTTCAGATGATCTTTCCAGTTTTCCCCCCTTTGGTTCTTATGCAACTAGAACCAAATTGCACTCGCGTTTTCCAACCTATCTCAGGCTATAAAGTTATTTAAACATTTCGGATCCTTTCTCTGATGGGACCTTTAAAATCTAAATGCCCTTCTTTTCGACGCAAATGATAATCCGTACTGGTCAACTATTTGTTCCATACATCGCAGCAATTACACTGGCAGCCCGTATCACACTTAAAATATGTGGTTTACAATATATCTTTATATCTCTCTCCTTCTCGAGCATTTTTCTATCCCAGCAGACTTGCCTTTCTTGTTTCATCCTTACCTACCACCACTTCTGTTTCTTTTGGTGGATATTAAATGCCCACCATTTCCTCTGGGGGGGTCTCATTGGTGGACTCAACGTGGCATATTCAGTTGGAGGCTGTTTCCTTGCCTCTTCACCCCCTCCAGGTTTAATACTGGGTACTCCCACCCATTTTTTCATCCTCGTACTCAACTCTCTCTTGCAATCGATTCTTTCAGTGCTGCCTCTTCGGCCGGGGCGACTCTTGCACTAACTATCACCTGTCCTGTTCTACCAGACTTACATTACAGCGCAGCCGGGATATTCCAATCAATCTTACTTCGTCCGTCCTATTCACCACCTTCCCGTAGCCCTCCTCGCTTGCAATTTGATCGGGCAATAATTGGATCTTTACTCACACCTCACTGCTTTTAGTGAAGGGTTCCTCTTCATCCTCCATTGATGAGCTCTACACATCTTCTCTACGTTCAGTGAGAAAACCGCACTTTCTCATCTATACCCCAAACCTCAGTCAGTCAGTCTCAGAAGTGCGGCCTTGGTGGTCCTCCTGCTTGAGCTCGTGCAGTACGTTTGAAACTGCTGCATGGGGCAGGAACCGGTACAATAGAACCGCTGAGAGACTTGTTGATTTAAAGCAGAAGCGTTGCGATCCGTCGCCGTGTCCATCCGTGAAGCTAAACGCACATGTATGGCGAGAGCAATGTATCCACCATCACTCTCAGCTTCTTCTATGAGTGCAGCTGTATAAAGTGAGGAAATTGAGTGGTAAAATACTCTCCTACCCGGCTGCCTGTTCTATCAAACGGTCACTGGTGGTTTGATATAGCAAACCTCTCTCGACGTTGCCATTGAAGTCTTGTTCACACATCTGGTCCGAATTTTCCCCGAGGGCTCCATCTATGCCCCCTCGTTTCTTTCCTCAAAGTCTGCCAGAGAGTTAGTACCCTTGGACTTTTTCTTCCTCTCGGAGAGAACAGTATAGTGTGCCTTTTACACTTCAAGACTGGAGGCAACTGCTCTCACTTGCCGATCATCGCACTGGGGCCTGAATGACAATCATATTCGTATTTGACAACATTTATACCATCTGTCACCCTTGTAGTCCCTCTCTTATACACCTCTTCAATCTATTTGGGCATCAAGGAGTTCTTCCCCAGCTGTGGAATCAGCCATTGATCTCCCTGTACCGTAAACCTGTACTACATACATGATGCCTCCCACTATCGCCCCATCGCTCTTACAAGTGCAGTTTGCAAAGTGATTGGAACGCCTCTAAATCGACGTTTTATGTGGTATTTATAGACTCACAACAGTCTCTCCGCTATGTCAATATGGCTTTCGTAAGGGTCGCGCGTTCTACCATAGACCCCTTACTAACGCTGGATACGTATGTATCGTAAGCCTTTGCGAATAATCACGTCAGTTTAGTGCCATATTTTTTTTTTGACCTTGAAAGGCTAAGACACAACTTGGAGGTATAATAATTTTTGGCCCAGTCCCATGTTCCTTAGGCCCTCCGAGGCAATCTTCCGATCACATCCTAAAGACTTGTTTTAACTGACAGACATTTTCCGTGTTCGAGTCAATAATGGTTCTTTCCTTCCCCGGGACATACGTCCAAGCGAGGTGTCCCTCATGATGTGTTCTAATGCACAACACTTTTTTTCTCCTTGCTATAAATGATTTGGTGCCTCTGTTCATCCCCCAATATTTGGTCATCACTCTAGTTGATTACTTACGCGTATTGCTTGTGCAGCGCTGACTGTCACCTTATTGGCAGTTCTCCTCCTCCAGCAAGCTACGAACCGTGTTTCCCTTGGGCCACCACACATGTTTTTAAATTTTCAATTTCCAAAACTCACCAAATTACTTTTTCACTAGACGCTCTGTTAACTCCGGATCAATGCCTTATGAAATCTCTATGTCTCCCAGTGATACCCCGAACGTGATACAGTCTGTTTCAGAGCAGCGTGCCGCTTCTCTTTGACCGTCGGTTTACTCTGGAAACCATCACATTACCTCTCTGAAGGCATCTTTGTCACACAGCCTCTAAACCTTCTTAAATAACCCTCTTGCACATCTTTCATGGGGAGCTGATCGGCGAACTCTGCTGTCCCTAATTCCGCCCTCGTTTTAAAGCGAAACTGCTAGGGGGAGAGGCGAGTGTGACCAATTTATCCCGCGGCCTCGCCTCTACTCTCCTCTATCCTTAACTCTATCCATCACCAACGGCTTACGTGGGTGCCTTGGTGCTTTTGCTCGCTCTTCCCCTGTTAGAGTAGCTCATACAGAAGCTATTGTTCCATCCTTGTCTGATTATCGCCGTGATGCCGCATTGCCTTCGTTACTATGTACGCTCTCACGAATCTACTACAATACCTTCATTATAGAATTGTCACCGATATTAGTAACTGACTTTTATTTCGATCGCCGCCCCTGTTTGCTCCGTCCCTTTTCACTTCGCCTACATTTCACTCTTGTCTTCCCTTCGATTTACCACCTTTATATGTTCATGTAGCTTCTCACTTTTCCCCACCCCCGCTGTGAAGTTCGCGATGTTCGGGTCTGTTCTTTCTCACTCCCTGCTCGAAAGCTCCACTGCCTACGGTGCTTACCCGCTCCTCTTTTTCTTGTGATCACATCCACTCGCATTCTCATGCCACCGCTGTGTACACAGATTGGCTCTAAGTCTTCAACGGCGTCGGATTCGCGAGCATTGTTTTTCCGGACAGCGTCGACGAGGGAATTTTACTATCTTGCAGCTAGCATTTTTACTGCTGACTGTATGCCATTTCTTGCAGCACTTATTTCGTATCGCATCTTTGCCTGTGATCTTCGCGGAGAGTGGAGCAGTAAGTTCTCCAGACTCCCTTAGTGCTCTACAGGCTATAACGAAAATTGATACTCTCATACCCCTAGTTCTCCGTATCCAACTTGACTACGCCGATCTCCTACCAACATAAATATATTGTTTTTTGTTGGGTCCCCTGTCATGTCAACGTAAACAGGGCAAAGTAACAGCAGACACTGCTGCGCGGTCATGCTTAAGTGAACCTGACCAATTTCCTATCGAGGTTTCCATTCTGGACTAATTTTTGCTGCAATAGCTACCCACCTTCGCAACGCCTTTGCAAACAACGATGGTCAACTCTTCTCGGTAACAAACTAACGAGAGCCGAGAGCGAGCGAGAGCGCGGCGCGCGGGGGGGGGTGAGGGGCAGGTGATGTTACTGGCCGTGGGGGCTTCTTGTCATCAGTGCCGAGGTTGGAGACCACTCTCTCCCGCCTTCGCATTGGCCACAACTCGTCACTTACCTCATGTATCTCATGGGATAGGCACCCTGTTTCCTCTCTGTGAGCAGTGGTCAATTTTATCCAGTATTCGATTAGCCCCACATTCTGTTAGACTGCCCTCTCAATCAACGAGCACCGCAGAATTTACCTCCCAACGTCTTGCGTCTATTCCCCTTACTCTCTACTCTCTTTACCTTCCCTTCTTGCTGATGGACCCTCCTTTAATCCCTGACTCTCTCATTGACGTACTTGACAACGACTGATTTAACTCCTCAAACTCTGATGATACTTGTTTCGCACTCCCCACATCCCTTTCTGGTTCAGTCTCATTTCTGCCCTTTAACCCTTTCACCATCCACCTGCCCGCTGTTTATCCGTAACCTTTGCTTCATCCATCTCCTTTTGCCACCTGATGCCCTCGCTACCTTCCTGCCCTGCAGCGCTGTATAGTCCTTGTTGGCTTGAGCGCTTCTTTTTTGATTAAAATAATAATGTTTGGGTCCCGGTCCCATGTCGACGTACAGGGCAATGAACAGGCACCACTGCTGCGCTGATGAGGTTTATTGATATGGGAGATTTTGTTCACAGTATATGAACCTACCAATTTCCTATCGAGGGTTTCCATTTCTGGAACTATTTGCTGCAATAGCTATCCCACCTTCGCACCCGTTGGCAACAACGTTGGTCAACTCTGCTCGTTAACAACCTTCAATCTAATAAACGCGAGCGATAGTTACTGGGCCTTCTCTTGTCAGCAGTGCCGAAGTTGGGGAGACCACTCTCTCCGCCTTCCTGCATTGCCAACCTCGGCATACTCATGGGTTATCTCATGGAGAGGCACCTTTTCCTCTCTGTTAGCAGTGTCAAGTTCCAGTATCGATTAGCCACAATCTGTTTAGACTTGCCTCTCGTAGACACAGCACTCATGAATATTACCTCCAACGTCGTCTTCTTTCTACTACTCTCATCTTTAACCTTTCCCTTCTTGCTGATGACCCTCCTTTAATCCTGACTCTCTCATGTGACTCTTGACAAACGACCGATTACTCCACAAACTCAGATGATACTTTTCGCACTTCCCCCCTCAGCCTTTCTGTTCAGTCATCCTTTGCTGATGCCCTTTACCCATTCACCACCACTGCCCCTTTATCCGTAACCGCTGTTGCTCTTCCATCTCCTTTTGCCACTTCACCTGATGCCCTCACTTCCTCCAGCCCTGCAGCGCTGTATATGTCCATGTGCTTAGCGCTTCGTTTGTTATTATAATATAGTGAAGGAAGTGAGGCAGTGTTCGTATAGTGAAGGAAGGTGAGGCAGTGTCGTATAGTGAGGGAAGGTGAGCAGTGTCTATATGAGAAGGGAGGCAGTGTACGTATAGTGGAATTTGAGGCAGTGTTCTATAGTGAGGAGGTGGGGCGAATGAGATCGTATAGTGAGGGAAGGTGAGTCAGTGTTCGTATAGTGAGGGAAGGTGAGCAGTGTTCGTAGCGAGCGTAGAGGGAAGGTTGAGCAGTGTTCATATAGTGAGGGGAGGTGGGCAGTGTTCTATAGTGAGGAAGGTGAGGCAGTGGTTCACAATTGGAAGATAGTAAGCCGAGTTATACGGAAGTGTATTAATATCCCTAAACAACTCTTTAAATCTAGAACTTTAATGAATCTGAAACTAGTTTTCTAACTCTCTTACCATTACCAACGCAAACAAAAGGTTCACCATAGCTGGGTTGTAGCACACTTGCCACACATAGCACTGAGGTCCGTGGATCGATCCCCGTTTACTGAGGTAACATCAGGGTGTTTCCTTAAATTAACCTAGGCAGTGTTCACGTAGCAGTAAGTAGGTACTTGGCCGTTAGTGGACTGGTGTGGTTTCATCCTGTTGGACAAATCTGAGTTGTGGAAAATACTCTACATAACCAGGGACTTTCTATATAGCATGTGACTGATGTCAGCTATGGTCTGTATAAGTTACACCATCTACTGGTAGAAATATTATTATTAATGACATTATCCCATCAACTGGACCCACTAGTGGTGCCACAGGGCACCATCCTGGGTCCTTTAAATATTTCCCAACTCGTCAAAATCATTGATCTACCAGATACTTCACAATTAATGATAAAAGATTTTATTATGCAGCCCCTTTAATTGAAGTTATTCACACATCAATGGGTTGACATTTGAATGCATTTTGGGTAATCTTAAGTTTATTTAAAGACTACTGGGGGCAATAAACCTTCCATGTATGTTTTTAGGAACGTTAACTGTATACAAATGATGAGTATACATATACAATTGTGTATACAAGTATATTAAACATATTTTTATTCTTATAAGTTCTGCCTTCAGTTGTCAACAGGACTGTTAGTGAGAGGATGGTGTCCTGTTGCTTGATCGCTAGCGCACTCACCTCTCACACTGAGGTCCGGAGTTCGAATCTCCTCCGGTATGGCTGGAAAAGATTAGGGACGTGTTTCTATAATACCTGCTGTCCATGTTCACCCATCAGTGTAAAATTGGTAAATGGGGGTGTTTGTGGACTGGTGTGGGTGGCATCCTGGGTGTTAGTGGACTGGTGTGGGTCACATCCTGGGTGTTAGTGGACTGGTGTGGGTGGCATCCTGGGTGTTAGTGGACTGGTGTGGGTGGCATCCTGGGTGTTAGTGGTCTGGTGTTGGTCACATCCTGGGTGTTAGTGGACTGGTGTGGGTCACATCCTGGGTGTTAGTGGACTGGTGTGGGTCACATCCTGGGTGTTAGTGGACTGGTGTGGGTCACATCCTGGGTGTTAGTGGACTGGTGTGGGTCACATCCTGGGTGTTAGTGGACTGGTGTGGGTCACATCCTGGGTGTTAGTGGACTGGTGTGGGTCACATTCTGGGTGTTAGTGGACTGGTGTGGGTCACATCCTGGGTGTTTGTGGACTGGTGTGGGTGGCATCCTGGGTGTTAGTGGTCTGGTGTTGGTCACATCCTGGGTGTTAGTGGACTGGTGTGGGTCACATCCTGGGTGTTAGTGGACTGGTGTGGGTGGCATCCTGGGTGTTAGTGGACTGGTGTGGGTCACATCCTGGGTGTTAGTGGACTGGTGTGGGTCACATCCTACGTGTTAGTGGACTGGTGTGGGTCACATCCTGGGTGTTAGTGGACTGGTGTGGGTCACATCCTGGGTGTTAGTGGACTGGTGTGGGTCACATCCTGGGTGTTAGTGGACTGGTGTGGGTCACATCCTGGGTCAAAACTAACCTAATTTGCGGGAAATGCTGTACATAACTAGGGACTTTCTATATAGTAATATGTCATTGATGTCAGCTATGGTCTGTATACCTTGTACATGTACTGGTATACCTTGTACATGTACTGGTATACCTTGTACATGTACTGGTATACCTTGTACATGTACTGGTATACCTTGTACATGTACTGGTATACCTTGTACGTGTACTGCTAGTAAATAATGATATTAATTTAAAGGTAGCTTCTTGGATCACAAACTTCAGACTCTGTGCTGATAATCCCTTCTAAGTAGAGTTTCCGAATATTACTTACAAAAATTAATATTCATTTGTAAGTAAATATAATATTCGAAGATGTGGGGAGTTATTATGAGTCTTACGATCTAATACCCAACTCAGTTTCAATACTCACATCCTGTACGTATTTCAGGGTATTTATATAAGTTTTCCTTCCGAAATGTGTTGGTGTGTACCTCACGACATTACTGTGTACGAGACTCAACTCTTCTTACGTCAACTGTACTGGTCCCCGAGGATTGATACTCACCATCACTCTACTGTTCCATAAACATTAACCTCACTATCACTCTACTGATCCACAAACATTAACAACCTCACCATCACTCTACTGATCCACAAACATTAACAACCTCACCATCACTCTACTGATCCACAAACATTAACAACCTCACCATCACTCTACTGATCCATAAACATTAACAACCTCACCATCACTCTACTGATCCACAAACATTAACAACCTCACCATCACTCTACTGATCCACAAACATTAACAACCTCACCATCACTCTACTGATCCACTAACATTAACAACTTCACCATCACTCTACTGATCCACAAACATTAACAACCTCACCATCACTCTACTGATCCACAAACATTAACACCCTCACCATAACTCTACTGATCCACAAACATTAACAACCTCACCATCACTCTACTGATCCATAAACATTAACAACCTCACCATCACTCTACTGATCCACAAACATTAACAACCTCACCATAACTCTACTGATCCACAAACATTAACAACCTCACCATCACTCTACTGATCCATAAACATTAACAACCTCACCATCACTCTACTGATCCACAAACATTAACAACCTCACCATCACTCTACTGATCCATAAACATTAACAACCTCACCATCACTCTACTGATCCATAAACATTAACAACCTCACCATTACTGATCCATAAACATTAACAACCTCACCATCACTCTACTGATCCATAAACATTAACAACCTCACCATCACTCTACTGATCCACAAACATTAACCTCACCATCACTCTACTGATCCACAAACATTAACAACCTCACCATCACTCTACTGATCCATAAACATTAACAACCTCACCATCACTCTACTGATCCACAAACATTAACAACCTCACCATCACTCTACTGATCCACAAACATTAATAACCTACCTACCTACTGGTAGGTGAACAGTGACATCAGGTGTCTTAAGAAAGCACGTCCCAATGTCTCCACCCGTACCGGGGATCGAACCCCACTACCATCCACAGGATGGATATGAGGTACACAATAAACTAGCCACTACCATCCACAGGATGGATATGAGGTACACAATAAACTAGCCACTACCATCCACAGGATGGATATGAGGTACACAATAAACTAGCCACTACCATCCACAGGATGGATATGAGGTACACAAACTAGCCACTACCATCCACAGGATGGATATGAGGTACACAAACTAGCCACTACCATCCACAGGATGGATATGAGGTACACAATAAACTAGCCACTCAACACTGACTAGTTAAGGAAATTCACTGTAGAGATAAGGCCTGAGCTTGCTACCACCTGCAGCTCACAAGACTGCCATCCCCACGAGCCCCTTTGGGGCGGGGCAGATGGTAGCCCAGAGGCCTAGCTTCTCCCTACGAGCCCCGTGAGGGCGGGGAATGTGGCTAGGCCTGGGGACAGTTGGTCCCAAAGATGAGGGGGTACTTGTACCTCCTCCCATGGGAGACTTAAGTCTCAAGACACTCCCCAGATAGGGAGCCAAGGCCGGGTCACCACTACTTGGAAAAGACCCGGGCCGGGAGAATACCGGCGAATAAAAAAAAAAAACTGTACAGATAACTAGGTTCGTTTTTTTACCTAATCAACTCGACCTCCTCGTTGATAACTGTCAGGAATAACTATCTTCCTTGACTTAACAGTGATAACTGATAACCCTGACAGCCCTGATAGCTCTGACAGCACTGACAGTCCTCACAGCACTGATAGCCCTCACAGCACTGACAACCCACACGGCAATGACAGCCCAGACAACCCTCACAGCACTGACGGCACTGTCAGTTCTGACAGCCCTCACAGCACTGACGGCAATGACAGCCCTGACAACTTTCACAGCCCTGACAACCTTCAGAGCCCTGACAGTACTGTCAACCCTCACAGCCCTGACAGTACTGACAACCCTCAGCCCTGACAACCCTCACAGCCCTGACGGTACTGACGGCCCTCGCAACCCTCTGTATTGTTCTCTAGTGGAGTTCTGTAGTGGTCTATAGTGTTATGTAGTGGTGGTCTGTACTACCATCAACACTATACTACCAACATCATCACTATACTACCAACATCAACACTATACTACCAACATCAACACTATACTACCACCAGCACTATACTACCACCATCAGCACTATACCACCGTCAACACTTTACTCTCAACACTATACTACCACCATCATCACTACCACCAGCACTATACTACCATCAGCACTATACTACCACCAACACTATACTACCACCATCAACACTATTACCACCAACAATATACTACCACCATCAACACTACTACCACCAACACTATACTACTACCACCAACACAATACTACCACTATCAGCACTATACTACCACCAACACTATACTACCACTGCCAGCACTATACCGCTATCAGCACTATACTACCACCAGCACTATACTACCACTTTCAGCACTATACCACCAACACTATACTACCAACATCAACACTACTACTAACATCAACACTATACTGCCTTCAACACT